AACTGTCGTTTTCATCACCACAGTCAATAACATGCCAATGCAATTGCCGCGGCGCGACAAATAGCGAAGCTGGGAGTCTCACAGGTGTGAATGGGTAAGAGTGAGCTCATTGCAGCATTCCACAGTCATGCACATGCTGCAGATTTCGAACCGCAGAAAATCCACTATTTTCTGTTCAGAGTTGCTTGCCGGATCACTCTTGTAACATAATCCCTTCGAATACCGCCTCACAAGCAATGCCGTATGTTGCTTTCGCCATGGAGCTGTGTACAGGTCTGGCCCGCACTAGCCTCCGTGGCGGAGCAAATTGTAAGTCTACTGCACTCAAGACATAGATGCGACTATTTCCGGCAAGCTGACGCATATCTGGGGAATATGCCGTGAGAGTTTTATTCGCATGTTGACTTGACTTGACGTCTATCGGAGCGATGACCACCGCAGAAGGGATGTATACCAGAAGCAGCAGCAGAGACAATCTCGTGCTGTACTTCCAACACGCTAAGCACCCGGGGCAACAGAGAGGAACGCGCTAAAGAAACTACACCGCGACCTCCGGACGAACAAAATTATCCATGGACAGATGTTTAAAATCCCAGAAAGTAACCTGGCTCGGCTGACGCTGCGGCCATGTAAAGGAGACTAAGAGCATAGCGACATGGCAGCTGCTATGCACTGCAGTGCCTTATTTGCTGAAATTGCATTGCGACTGAGCATCTTTTGCCGCCAACGAAGAGAACCTGTGCCCCCAAAGATTGAAGTGCACGGAGACACTCTTGTGCAGGGCACTCAATTGAATATGTGCCACAATCCAAATCAGATTAATGATTAAGATATCTTAGAGGCGTCGTCGCGGCGCCCGCCCCCCCCCCCCCGAGATGCTCGTTCCGTCAATATCCAGCTGTCTGAAGTGTGCACCAATTTTTTCTGTGCTGTTCATTTGTTGCAGCAAGAATGCCTTGATTGTGTATCTCATAATTCTATACATATAATAATCGACTGATTAGACGTTAAAGCCATTTTATCGCAATGCCTAGAAAGCCAATTTAGTAGTATTGGTGAACACCTACAATGCATTCAATGACCTTCCACTGTCTCCATGGCAAAATTGGAACAGTAGTTCATTTGCCAATGAGGTCATCGGGCCCAAAATTTGAGGCTGAACGTACGTATTATTCGCGCAATCTGCCACAATCCATTTATTTCGAATACACATACTTCGAATTGGGCCTTCATTTCGCAGAAGTTGTATTATCTATGTACAAATGCTTTCAGGTTTCCAAAAGTTCATGCACACGAGATCGCGCCACTTGCGCTCGATGTGGAAACTTACAAGTAGTTGAAACTGAATCTCTGTGAACGCGGTTAATTGTACTATTTATGGGCAAGGCGTTGGCGGCTTTGACGTAACACATATCATGTCATTCATACCAGCTCGTTGATAGCTCAAACGGCGTACAATTTACGGAACGCCACCTGGGAGGGCACTCTTCCTCCGCTGACTAATGTGTCTCTTGTGCACCAATGCAGCACCTGACCTCGGTAAGCTGAGGCATGAATACATTTCCACACAACACAGCAGAGTACGGCGCAGTACGGAGACATAATTGCAAGTGGCGCAGTCTCCCTAAATGCATCTGAAACTACCTTCCACAACGAAACAAGGCTCATGGCCAGGCAGCACCCGCACAGGAATGTTGCCCCTCGCAATGTTTGTCCGACGAAAACACCCAGCCCCCCCGTTATAATGCCGCTGAAAACTGACGTGGCAGTGACGCTGGCTCTGATTTTTTGACTTTAGCGTTAGGTATTTGGGTGACTATAAAATCAAAAACCTAAAACCTAGCCTGAAACCTAAAAAACAACCTTAAAAACTAATAAGCCGGACAGCAACGTCAGGTCAGCGACAGTCGATGCGACCGTGCGAGCGGTCAGGTGCGTCGGGCGAGCGTCAGTTTTTTGCCATGTCAGTTTTTAGCGACATTAAAACGGCGGGGAAATCCCCCAAGTTAACACCCAGTTCGTCAACAGAGGGCGGGCGTTCGTCGATGACTAACCCGTCCCTTGTGTTTCCGCGCAGCGTGGCTGAAATTTCTCATGCAGTTCACCAACTTCTTCGCGCTGCTGCTCATCGCCGGCGGCACGCTGTGCTTCATCGCCTACGCCATCGACCAGTCGGACCCCACCAACCTGTACCTGGGGGTCGTGCTCGTCGGCGTGGTCATCATCACGGCCACCTTCAGCCACCTGCAGGAGTCCAAGTCCGCCAAGATCATGGAGGGCTTCAAGAGCCTGATACCCAAGAAGTGCAAGTGCATCCGCGACGGCGTGATAGGCATCGTGGACGCGGTGGAGCTGGTGCCCGGCGACGTCGTCAACCTGGGGGACGGCGACCAGGTCCCGGCGGACATCCGCATCATCGCGGCCACGGACATGAAGGTGGACAACTCGTCCCTGACAGGCGAGTCCGAGCCGCAGGAGCGCGACCCGAAGGTGCCCGAGAGGTCTCTGGACGAGAACGGACACCCGCGGCCGGTGCCGCCCATCGAGGCAAGCAACCTGGTGTTCTACACGACGATCATCAGCGCGGGGTCGGGGCGGGGCGTGGTGGTGGGCACGGGGGACCACACGGTGATGGGCCAGATCGCGGGCTTGGCCACCGAGACCAGCTCCGAGGCCACGCCCATCGCCAAGGAGATCAAGAAGTTCATCCAGCTCATCTCCGCGGTGGCCATCAGCCTGGGCCTGGTCTTCTTTATCATTGGCCTGGCGCTGGGCACCAACGTGATCAAGAACGTGGTCTTCGCCATCGGCATCATCGTTGCCAACGTGCCCGAGGGCCTGCTGGCCACGGTGACGGTGTCCCTGGCGCTCACCGCCAAGCGCATGCACGTCAAGAACGTGCTGGTCAAGAACCTGGAGGCCGTGGAGACGCTGGGGTCGACGACGATCATCGCCAGCGACAAGACTGGCACCTTGACGCAGAACAGGATGACGGTGCAGCACTGCTGGTACAACGGCCAGGTGTTCAGGACGCCCGCAGCGCGCAACAAGCCCCAGCTGGCGGCCGCGTTCCAGATGGGCGCCGGCAACGAGAAGTACTGCGACCCCAATGACCCCACGTTCAAGCACCTGCAAATGGTGGCGACGCTGTGCAACAACTCGTCATTCATCACGAAAGTAAGGCAGGGTCATGGCGTATGGCAACTGTACATGCACGTTCGGTGATAGTGCTATCATGCTGATCTACATGTTGATATCAACATTCAGGCACGCGCGATACGGGTGTCGAGGGTTGTTCAAGGGCAGTGCGCATTCCATGGGGAAAGTGTTTTGCTTTAGCTCTGCTTCTAGTGGAGCAAATTCAACTCTGCCCAGAATTGTTTGAAGGCAAGCCGCCTTGTTGCTGTCCTGTGGCGAGTGAATGGGAAAATTCTCCCAAGGATTGTTGTTTGAAGAAGCGTCTGGGCATCAGTTGCGACGAGGCAAATTTTGCGTCAGGGTCAGCGGATCAAACGTCGATTTAAATGGCATGTGCATTGTGCCCCCATCCCAGCTTAACTAGCAGAAAACGGCATTTCGCGATGCCAATTGCGACGCCATTCTGACACAAAGTGGAGGCATCACAGTAGTCGCAATGGCATAAAGGCAGCTGTGATGGCATCAATTGGTGTCAAATAGCGTCGCAGTGGGCATGGCAAATTCTGCTAGTGTCTGTGATCAGCGGCGCTGCACACCGATGTGAATGAACCCGTTTGTGGTGTTTTGACATTTCGACAGATCTTCGTTTCGATTATCGAGCATCGCCTGGTAACTGGTTGAATTTTCTGGACTTCTCAGTTGTTGTTATGAGGCGTACAGTTAGTATTTGTGTCTGGCAACTTGCCAGTGGCAAGCAATTGCATTTCTCTTCTAGGGGAATCGTCGCTGATGACAGTGTGGCAACAAAAGGTGTAAATAATTCAAAATGTGTGAGGCAAAGGTACCTTACACCGTTTCTGCGGCATTGCAACATTAAATAACTGCAACATAAATATGTCCCGAAATAAAATGTAACTGTAGATGACAAGAAATGTGCTCTTGCAATGCTGCGGAATTTGTGAACAGAAGCACCTAGGGTTTTCACAGTCGCAGAAGCAGGTTCACCTATACACTGACATCAATCAGGTATATTCTGGAGAGAAGCGTCACGCCCCGTGCAGTTATTTTACCTCATCTTGCGATGTAGAGCAGATATCAGCTCATACACTGCACATATCATTGGATTGGAGCCTGATTGACAATGCCCACGATGGCATGGAGCTGCATCGCCCCGCATCCGTGGTTACTCTTCTGATATGTGCATTTGTGAGGAGCATAGGTGTTCCGAAAGGCACAGATGCACACCTCTCGTATCAGGCTTCCGGCACTAGCGTGGAGACTATGCCGTAGCACCTTTATTACAAACGCGCATTTATGTGCATAAATGCGCGCATCTAGGCGTGTTTTTATCCGTTCCGTGTCCGCACGTAGTTCTACGTATTTATGCGCCAAGTCGACCCACAGCCTTGGTGTGCCTTGCGTTTGTTGATTGGCTGTCGCTCAAGGAATAGCTCGGGCCGATCATCATGCAGTTTCCGCACGTCGAAGCCATGCAGGCCAAACGCTACTACTGTGGACTGCTCGTGGACGGTAACAACGGGAGCCGATGCTGCCGCTTCGCTGGCATCAGCGGCTATTGCCAAACAGTATGCAGTGGCGAAGATCCGCTTCAGCCCCACGCCCACTTTGCACTTTCCCCAAAGAGAGCAGTCAGGGAGGAGTGTGCGCTCCTGCAGCTGCAGGAGCCTGTAGGCTGTGCGTAGGAGGAAACGTGACGGCCAAATCCACGGACCGTCCTCCCGCGATTTCAGCACGAAAGCAATGTATTTATAAGTCATTAGTTAGTGGAAGTATTTAGGTTTTGAAGGGCTTCTGTATATAAAAGGATAAATACGCGTCTTAAAGTTGCCGTATTCGTTGTGCCATAAACTCATGTGTCAAGCCTGTGTGGCAGCGACTAACGCGCGTGTGTCTATAAGGACCAATACGACGACAGCAAGCCACCGATAGACATCTTGACAGAACAGGAAAAGCCAGACTTCAACCTGTTAGGCCTGGATTGCACGGGAGACGCCTCCGAGTCCGGACTCATAAAATCCATGCAGCTGCTGCGCGACATCGAGGAGTTTCGCCGCGCGAACCCCAAGATTTTCGAGATCAAGTTCAATTCGATGAACAAGTGGGCGCTGTCCATCCACAAGCCCGAAGACGCGTCGAAGCCCTACCCCTTCCTGGCGCTGAAGGGCGCCCCTGAGAGGGTGCTGAAGATGTGCAAGTACATCATGGTCGACGGGCAGGAGGTACCCCTGGACGAGGAGTGGGAGCGGCGCTACACGGAGGCGTACGAGGGGCTGGGCGGCATGGGCGAGCGCGTGCTGGGCTTCGCCTTCAAGAACATGAAGCAGTGCGGCTTCGACTTCGAGTTCAGCTCCAAGCCCGAGCCCAACTTTGCCGTCGACGACCTAACGTTCGCTGGCCTGCTGGCGCTGATCGACCCCCCGCGGGAGGGCGTGCCGGAGGCGGTGACCCGCTGCAAACATGCGCGCATCAAGGTGTTCATGGTGACGGGCGACCACCCCATAACCGCCCAGGCCATCGCCAAGCAGGTGGGCATCATCGACCAGGCCACGTGGGACGCGGGCCAGGCCACGGTCGTCAAGGGGGACACCATCCGCGAGTGGATGGAGATCAAGGACCCGGCGGCGAGGCAGGCCAAATGGGACGAGGCGCTGAGCCACAAGCAGATCGTGTGGGCGCGCGTGTCCCCCGCACACAAGCTGCTCATCGTGGAGAACTCCCAGCGGCTGGGGGAGGTGGTGGCGGTGACGGGCGACGGCGTGAACGACGCCCCAGCTCTGAAGAAGGGAGACATCGGCGTGGCGATGGGCATCGCGGGCAAGGACGTCTCCAAGGAGGCCGCCGACATGATCCTCATGGACGACAACTTCGCCTCCATTGTCAACGGCGTGGAGGAGGGACGGCTCATCTTCGACAACCTGAAGAAGTCCATAGCCTACACGCTGACGTCCAACATCCCCGAGATCGCGCCCTTCCTGTGCTTCATCACCATCAGCATTCCGCTGCCGCTGTCCACGGTGCTCATCCTGTGCGTGGACCTGGGCACGGACATGATCCCGGCCATCTCCCTGGCGTACGAGCTGAAGGAGTCGGACATCATGGACAGGCCCCCGCGGAACTCGGCCACGGACAGGCTGGTCAACCGGCGGCTCATATCCTTCGCCTACTTTCAGATCGGCGTCATGCAGGCCCTGGCGGGATTTTTCACGTACATGGTGGTCCTCAACGACTACGGATACGCCCCGCGGATCCTCATGGGCAACGGTCTCAACTGGTCGGATCGGTCCCTCATGTGCACACTGAATGACAACCTGCGCGCCGAAGACTGCGGCTACGGCTGCGAGGAGCCGAAGAAAGAAGTCGACGGGACGAAGACGCTGTACGGCCAGTGGAAGGACGACAACGACTTAGAGTTCTGCGGCCAGGGCTGTCAGATTCCGTTCCCCGGCACGTCAGACCCGTTTGTGGAGTTCACGGACAAGGGGTTTCGGGGTTTCGCCTTTGGCACGGAGGCCGTGTGCGGCCGCACTTGCGCCTGGTTCAACGGCCTGTCCGACAGCGACAAGTCGACGCTGCGGGCCGCCAGGAACACGGACTCCGAGCTGGCGCTGATCCTCACAGATGAAGACGAAAGGTTGTTCCAGCACTACTGCGATTTTGGCGAAGGCGCGGCCGTGGAGTACGGGTTCCCGAAGCGAGGGGCGTTCGACTCCAACGCCAAGGCGCCGTTCAAGTCGTTCTACTGGTGGAACGGGGAGCAGCAGCTGTGGCCCAACACGAAGTACCAGGACAACGCGCTGGCGTACGCGCAGAGCGCGTACTTCATCTCCATCATCGTGGTGCAGTGGGCGGACCTGCTGATCGCCAAGACGCGCAAGCTGTCCGTCTTCGAGCAGGGCATGAAGAACGGCTTCATGAACTTCGGCATCGCATTCGAGACGGTGCTGGGCCTACTGCTGTCCTACGTGCCCCCCTTCAACCTGGTGTTTGGCACCCGGCCCATTCACATCCTGCATTGGTTCACGGGCGTGCCCTGGAGCATCCTCATATTCGTGTATGACGAGGTGAGGAAGTTCATCATGCGCAGTAGCCCCAAGGGTTGGATGGAGAATTTCACCTACTGGTGAAGGAGTTTGCATTCCGATGTTGCCCCATGGGGGCGCCATTGGCAAGAAACGAATGTGCATGGGAGGGTGGGAACGGTTGGAGAGCCAGGGCCTCTGAAGTGGGGAATCCGCGGAGCGCATGTGGCCTTGGCTGTTCCTGGAGAGTGATCGTCAAGTGGATTGATGTCTAAACAGCTGCACTTTTGGAGGCGCAAAAACTAGTGGGGCCCTTCAGCTGCATGGTATTTAGGAAACGCGTCGCCTTATGTTTGGATAAGCTCTGGTGCGAATCTCCGGTTCCTGGCCAGTTGACCATGGACGGCGCTTTCTGCGGGTGATGGGCAATCCTCTGGGGAGGTGATTAGTCAGTCTCGATGTCTTGCTGTGGCCGCGATGGAGCTTGCCTGTCACCTTCCCCCCGGCCTCCCAAACTTGTTCTGTTGCGTGTAACATCGCATTCTTCAAACCAATTTGGTTTTTCTGAAGTTCTTTCTGCAAAGGCGCAAGGGCGCAATCTTCAGATCAATTCTCGCACAAGGCACGCGTGGGCTTGTCTGGTGCAGCCGAATATTCGGAATAATCCAATACCAGGCTGCGGAGGCAAAATCACCCGTTTCTCATCCCTTGATTTGCACATAATAGAAGTTGACGAGGATATGAAGTAACGGTGGACTGGCGATCCGTGACCAAATGCCGCCATGATGTTCCCCTTCAGTCCGCACGCCAGGGAGATGGACAGGATAGTATGCAATCGCGATCCACGCACACAATGAGGGCCGTGAGCGACGGAATGAGCATGGTGATTGCGATGAAGCCCAGGAAGGTCTGCATGAATCACTCAATTCAAAAATGTAAAAATAGTCAATAATTCCAGCAAATCGATGGAATCCCAGAACAGTTGCGGCAGTTCCAACCATTCATTGTTGGTGAGTATGGTAAGTTCCAGATTCTGTGGGAACAATCTTCTAGCAGACAACGCTGGCTCACCGTGCACCTTCAGACATGGCAGGGCATCTCACAAACGCACTGCAGTACTCAAACGTTCGTTTCCAGAACTGCCGCCTGCAAGCCCGATGCTAAAATCAGGATGCGGCGAAACGAAAGTGACCCAGGAACAAACGCACTTACCATTCGCCAACCGTTCAGTTGTGCTACGGAAACAAGTTTCAGGCCTTCAGCAGGAAGGTTCGCACCGCGTATGAAATGAAGTGTGACACGTGAACACTCAGCAGAAGCGACCGGGTTGTACAACCCAACAAGTTCTCAGTGTGCACCACGGTGTGTGGAAAGCGTTGTATTGTCACTTTTGATGCACACATGTGATGACGACACTTTGACACATGTGTCAAACGTGGCGTGATCAAGCGTTTGGCCAGGACATACTGATCGGTCTAATATCGTTGGACGACGTTTTGCCTGTTCTTTTTGCTCCACGCTGAGCGCCCTACGTCGTTGAAGACGTGGACCTTGGTTTAGTCCATGACAAGGAAGTGCACAAGTACGGGTCAGCCCGGATCTCCCCACACCCCAGGCGCGTTGACATGCGATAATTCGACTTCTTCAACAGATGTCTATTCCAGTCGAGACAGCGCCAGTCCTTGCATCGGCAGGGCATTGCGCAAGCCCTGGCCTTCACTCCCTTCTTACATTGCGGGCGGAAATGTCTCCATCTCCGACTGCGGAGATCGCGATACCGTGGCCAGGCAAATTGCAGCTGCCAGCTCACCCACAGCCACAGTTGCGTGTTCCCTCAAGTACACATGCTGTGCACACCGCGTAGTCTGCGTACAGTGTCACGGCGCAAGCTGGCACACTACCAACAAGTGTGCGCCAAACGGTGGCCCCGGTACTGCCAGCGGCGTTCTGCTAACCGACCACGGAGAGCCCGCTTCCCAGTGGTGGAGGGGGCCAGCGCATGCTGAAACGAGCAGGACACGCTCGGCAAGTGGGCATGCTCACTACTGCTTGATGTATCGACAAGGGCGGCTGGCTGGGTCCTCCCCACAACAGTACATGGACCCGCCACTCCGCCCTTGGCGCGGACCGCGGTCGGAGAAGATGAGCGACAGATACTTCCGCGTCACTGTTGACTCCATCACCACGTGTCCCGTGCACCGCCTGTTGTCCTCGCCCTGTCCCTTCCCTGTTGCGGATCAGCTCACACGGCGGTCGATTCCCGCTGCGCCCGCGCCCCGGCCGTCCCCCCACCCCCTCGGGCTGTTGCGCCCAGACCTCCACAAGCCCGGGAAAGGGTTTCGACGGACTGCCACACAGGCGCTCGTGAGGTGCGGCGGGCGGGGGCTGCCGGCGGGCCATGCGTCGCGAATGCGCGCCCTTTCGCGCGAGCGCGTGGCTGCAAGGACATCGCCACTAGTAAGCCCCTCTGGGGACGCCGGACTCGCGGCGATGGATCAAGGCCAGACGGAGCCCTCAGAGGGTGCCCTGATCCGCGTCGCTTATCGTTGTCGCGGCTGATAGGCGGGCGGGCGATGGGGTCCAGTGCGCCGGGTGGGGGTGGGGGTGGGTGGGTGGGGTGGGGTGGGGGGTGATTGCTCGCAGTTGCATGCGCCAGGTGCTTTGTCGTCCGGTGGATCGTTGTTGCGCTTTCTGGTGGGTGATTTGAAGCGGGACGCCGTGGGGGGGGGAGCATGGTCAACTGCGGATCTCTGCCGCTGGGCAATGGCGCCGCGTGCCACGTGCGCGCACGACCGCATCCGTCCCTTGGGGAAGCTTCCTGAGGCTAGCGCGGCAGCACACACGCGCAGATGCTTCCCACGCGGCGGCGGTAATGTCGCTTCCGCTCGCATCTGATCGCCCCGAGGGGCGAGTCCGCTGGCCGGGCGGGCGGAGTCCACGGACACCAAAATCTGCAGACTGGGCCGATGCCGTCGTGGCCTGCGCTTTCGCGTGGATGGCCATAGGTCGCGAGGATCCCTGCGCGATGGCCAAAGGCGGGGGAGAGGGGAGAGCGCGTCGCCGGGCCCCCTCCCCCCTCCTCCCCGAGTCCCACGTTCCGCCGGCGCCCTCGCGCCGCTCCACGGCTGCCGCCCCGCCCGTAATATTCGAATAATATTCCGGCGGCCAGGCGAGTCGCCTAACGCGCAGCGCCGCGCCCACGGCCCTCGGAGCGCCAGCGGGACAGTCCTTTCCCAGTCCGTGGCGTCCGGGCGCGCCACCTCCCCAGCGCGGCGCCGCGCTGGGTGGCCACAAGCCGGTGGGCAAAACGACGCAAACCTGCCTCATAGACGGCGCCCTGGGCACCTGCGCGCGCCAACCGAGCTCGCAGGGAACCGCCCTACGGCCAGATCGATAGTCTGCCTGTTAAAGGCGACGTTTTTGGCCTTACCGCCTACGCTGCAGCGGTTGCCGAACCCTGGACCAGTGCGGGCGCCTGCCTTGAGCTGGGACAAGTGTGTGCGCAGGCTGTCGGGCCTTAAGCGTGGCGTCGTGAGCCGCGCCGGTGTCGAGGAGCCCGGACCCGAGATCTGCGGGCTGTCGGTGCCGGCCTTGGTCCGGCCATGAGCGCCACGACCCCGACTTGCGCGGATTTCGCGGCTGGGGCCTCATGCCCTGCCCTCGAGCTGGAGTCGGGGGAGGGCTCCATGCGCAAGTCGTGCTCGACGCCCGTGCTCAGCACCCTGGGGATCGGGGAGGGCAGGCTGGACGTCGGCGGCGGCGAGGCTGAGGGCGGCCTCAACGTGTACGTCGTGGCGAGGCCCATCGAGAAGGGCGGGCCGCAGATGCTGCACTCATTGTCGAAGGACGCCAAGAATGCGATCGTCCCCCTGGGGGTGTGCCACTACATGACGGTCTTCGAGACCAGCGACGGGAGGCTCGTGCAGTTCGACTTCGGCCCGAGGGGCGGGGATGTGGAGAAGGGCGTGCCGGTGTCATGGATGGTGGGTGCGGACAGGGGTGATGAGAAGAAGAGGGAGCATGGCAGCAAGTCTTCGGTTGGCGAAATTAGGGAGAACCAGGTGAGCCATGGTGTGCTTGGCGTGCTGAATGGGCCCCAAGAGGGTGGCAGACGGTTCCATGAGAAGTAGGGAGAATTAGGGCACTCGAAATGTACCAGTGCATTGAAATATCCGTGCATTGAAACAGAAACTCACCATGTCAGGTTGGTCAGCATGGAACATGGATGAGGCAAAGCTGGAAAACGCAGGCAACAAAATTGGTGTGCAAGAATGGGATGAAAGCACAGAATTGTTCTGCATGGTGTGAGAATTCTGGTTTGGTGTGTATAAGAGTGTCATGAATGCCCAGCCACCCGACCACCTTGCAGGCAGTGTTCCTTCAAAGATTTAGTTCAGACATGCTGGGAGAGCAGCTGCAAATGGCGACACAGGTTCCCAGAATACAGTGCACTTTGCAAGCACAAATGCGCATAAAAGGTAGTCGAAAATTGCTGCACAACACCAAAACATCGACCTGAAAATAGTATTGTGCTTTGCATGCTCCTCAGTTGACCGTCTTGCCCGATGCACATCTGTTTGTGGGGCGCACGCTGTTGCGGCTCACAGACATCCGAAGCTACAACGCAGTGCAGCCCCTCCACTATGAGCTGCACACAAATGACTGCAGGTAGGTTCCGTGATGCTTTGTTGAAATGTGTGCACGAATGTCGATGGGTGAGTCCCTAGGGTGGCACTATCTCACAGTGAGCAGACCAGCAGCATTCGCATGACATGCAGAGGGTTGGCAGCAATTTCATTGGAATGTTCATTGGCCACCAGGAAGCACCACACAATCAAGTTTTCTGATTGTCTTATTATTTGATTGCGCTACTTTCCATTTCGGCTCTGCCTGCTGACCAAAAGAAGTTTTCTGGGCATAATCCGTACCCAGCTCAAAGGTTCGTGCATGCGTGCTGCCTCCTGTCCCAGCATCCTTACCACTGCGATTACCCTTGCCGAAAAGCGTGCTTGCCCCATGCCAGTGTTTCGTGGCCTCCGTCCACGCTTGCCTTGCACTTGAGACACCGGACCCAGCGCACCCACTCGCAGCAGAAGAGTCTCACACACACTTTGCTTAGGAGTTGCCCTTTGTGTCACCAGTTTGTTGCTCTCTTTGTAACTAAACTTACCCCACTGGTAGCACTTCTGGTACACGCCCTGACGTCCCTTCGCTCCTCCCCCCCTCACCCCCAGGCACTACGTCAACAGCCTGGTGGAGTTCACCACGGGGGTGGAGAGCGCCTCCGTCCAGCTGGTCCGCGAGACCTTCCGCCGGCGCCACGCCGGCGCGCCGGCGCTCAACGCCAAGGCCGTCGAGTTCGCGCAGTACTTCACGGACGTCCAGAACTGGGGCCGCGTGAAGGCCGCCGGCGGCACCACGCTGGCCACGCTGCTGGCCGCCTGGACGGGGCGGGGCCTGGCGGGCCGCGTGGCATCAACCACCCTTGCGCCCGCCCTGAGGGCCGTCTCCGTCTCCAAATCCTTCGGTACCGTGCTCGCCCGCAACCCAGTGCTGGGCGCCGCGGCCGCATTTGCCGCATCCGTCCCCACGTGGGCTGATGCTCCGATCTTCAGGGAGACAGTGAGCCTGGGATCGGCTGTGAATAAGGGGCTGATGAGCGCCGCTGGCGGATGGCTGGACTGGCTGCGGATGCAGAACGCCGTGGTGGACCTGGCGTCGGCGTCGGCGCCCGGCGGGGGCGGCGTGGCGCGCGGCACGGCGGCGGTGGCGATGGCCGTCACGCGGGGCGCGGCCGGCCTGCTGTGGAGGGGGCGACCGGAGCAGCCCGGCAGGAGGAAGCGGGGCAAGGGCGGGCGGCGGTTGGCGGTGGCGTCCAGGGCGGCCACGCGGCTGGGGAGGGCGAGGCGAGCCGCAAGGGTGCGGCATCCGGCGCTGGGCTCCAACGAATGACTGCTGGAATTGGTTGCGTTGCGCCGGGGGAATCATCGTAGGCCTGCTTTTCATCGTCTTGGCCAAATGATTGCAGGCCGTCTTTTCATTATCCATGGGGCAAAATGAACAAAACGCGGTGGTCGCCCGCCAACGCAGGGGGCGAGTCTGCTCCACGGTGGGCAAGGTTGTTATGAGACAGAACGACGAGGCACAGTCCCGCTTTTCATTCCACCGCGGGGCGCTTGAGCAGCAGGGTTCCTCTGCTCCCGGCTAGTAGTTTGGGGCGGGTAGGTGCGCGGGGTGGGGGGCGATGCACAGCCCAGCCTGCCGGCTTTGGCAACGGTGAGCGTTGGGGAATGCATCACGCTGAAGGGTTGGGGCCATTGCGTATTGTGTGCGCGCTTCGCTTGAGCACATTTGGGCAACGCGCGGAATTGAATTCTTTATGGTACCATGTGGCGGGTGGTGTTGAATTTAGGATTGGTCACGCTGCAGTGCGCAGATTCGAGCACTGTGGCCAGGGTCGCGGAAGCAAGGCAATGAACGATGACGGTGGGCGACAGCTGTGACTAGATTCTTAGGTGAAGACGAGCTTGGGCATTTGAACACACCTGGCTGGATGTGTTTGACTTGTAATCTTTCTGCATCTGCTTTTCTTTAAGAGGCACGGCATGTGTGGCAGGTGCCTGTGCTATATTTTCGCGCTGCAGTCATAGCAGCCAATCTGAGTGTCCGCCATACACGTGAGCGTATTGTATCTTCTGCCTGCTGCAGCTCGCAAGCTATATGAGCTTTGTCAATTGGCTTACAGATTTCAACGCATTCAAATGTTGCGAACCTGTTATTCCAGCTGCAGTGCATTTGGGCAAAGGGATATAGCCATCCTTGAACAGAGGTGGTGCAATTTTGCTCAGCGCTTAAGCTGACCTTTTGAGAGTCATGGTGCTCGTGTGGTTTCAATGCACAACTTGTGTAAATTGGCCCATTGCCGAGAACCCTATAGCGTGCGATTGCAGTGTGTCTGCCACCACACTAGTTGCAGATGGACCAACAGCAGATGCATTCAAACAACATGGCACAAGGGAAAGTGCAAATGAAAGTGAGAAACGGCGTATGGATTGTTGGATCGTTGAGCGAAGATTAGAACAGCCTAGGATGTCAACATGTATGCAACGGAGAAAATAAATCGTTGGGACAGTCTGTTGGGGAACAACCACGTCCTAACGTCCCAAGAACACCCGTTTCCAAATCCCTCGTGCGAGTACAGGCCGAACGTCAGGGAGTGACCTTGACACTGCCATCCGCTACTGAGCTCCTGCGCAGGAGTCTATTCTATGTGTACTCCCCAGTGTTTGTGGTACACGGCGTGGAAGCTCGCTTGAACTTGGGAGGACCGGTCCTCCTCGGTGCCGAGAGTGTGGAAGGTCATGGTTGTTGTGGGGTGCCATGGGGAACACGCGATCTGCTGGACGCTGGTCCGTTGCAGTCACCGCTGGGGATTGTACACCCGCGCATTGGCATTTCGTCGCATGACGTGTTCCCCTGCGACAGAGGCGTCTAAGCTGGCGAACATCGGGTGCCGAGGACGGATTCACCTGGAGCCTGAAGCGGTTGAAGGTTCTCGGGGGCCAGCAACCATGCGTGGTCAACCACTAAAGGTAGAGCAGAGTGGCGTGTGTGGGGTCCTGTGATGCGGGGCTGGTACATTGCGGTAGTACATGAGCCCACACACATTCACGATGGCCCCTGGAAGGACGCCGGACTCTGCGCGAACTTCAGGATCTCGCGAAGTCTCGGCGGCCATCACTGCGACAATCAGAGGAGTCAGCCTGCTGCCTTCTGACCTCGATGGTGCGAAGGGCGGCAGCATGAAAAGACACGCTTCGCTGCTTTGAGGTCCTCCAGTTGCATGTTCAGGCATACTATTGCTGCGCGGTGCGCGCGTCGCGCTGGGACTTGGGCGCCATGGCTTCGGTTTTCTGCGACTCGCCCCACAGCGACCAAACGGAGCACAGGTATGGCCTGCTGGCGCGGTCGCTGCACTGATAAAGCGCTCTGTGTCCAGGCGCGATGTTGATGGACGTTGATGCCGTGCTGGCACTGCGGCCAGCTTGGCGGGCGCTAGGCAGCCATGCTCAGATTCCTCCTAGTCCTTGCGTTTTCAAGGGTGGAGTCGAAACTGAACAGTAGCCGTCGAAAGGCTTCTAGCAATGGTTCCCATCCGCGCGGGTGTTGACGACGACAAAACCACCCGGCAGCCACCCGGCACCCGGCGATTCTTTTTGCGCGGGCAATGGATGCCGTGTCAGTTCTGCCAACCGCGTCGCCCGCCGCATGGGAGCAGGCTCCTGATGCCAAAAGGATCCCACCGCACGCGAAGGCCGCTTGGGGCAGCTGGAACGATGAACGTAGGAACCCGAACGTCGCAAAGTCCTGCGAGGCGTTTCGGTGCGCGCAGCGGCATCAGTGCACATGAGAATCGCAGCCTCCACGCTCGCGGCAGCGCATTTCGACTGGGGTGCCAGCTGGGCGCCATCTTTGTCTGAACGGCGGTCTGCCAAACAAGTGGGTCCATTTTGCCCCACCGGAAATGAGGAGGAGTAACGCCGTATGATGCTCCCGTTGTCCGCCTTGCGGCAGCCTCGATAGCTTGCTTCGTCTCTCTGTCGCACCCCCTGTCGAGCGCACCGCCCCCAGGAAAGCCGCCAAGCCTGCCCTGCCTGCCATCCAGGTGCGAAGAGCCCAGCGTGCTCGCAGAGCTGGGCTTCGACGAGGCCAACCCGTTGGCGCAGCCCCAATTGGAGCCCATGGATACCGAGCCAACAGATTTCGAGCTGAGTCAACAGGCATTCTGCCACGTGCAAGCAACTGCGGGGATGGCGGACGACAGGCATGCAAACCCCCTGGAATTCGCCGAGAGGGTCGACCAGGCGCAAAACGGCGACGGCGCTCCAGAGCACGAACTCCAGCGCTGTTTGCGGACAGGGCCTCCGCAGAGGGCGCAGGGTTGCTGCGACTTCGCCGCCGCTGCCACCGACCCAGAAGTTGAACAAATCGGCGAAATTGTTCAGTACGAGGAAGTTGAGGAAGGGTCTGCGGGGTGGGATGAACGCGCGGAATATGCGCGGTGCTCCGCGGATCAAGCGCAGATCCTCAGCTCGAATGTCCTGGAGACGCGGGGCGGGGAAGCTCACAATGCCGTTCGGGAAGCCCGCGGGGATGCCGCGGACCAATTGGGAACGCCACCACCGGGTGCCCAATTGGCGGCCACATCGCAGCAACCGGTGGCCATTGGGCTCCTCAAACAGGGGTTGCCGGGTGGAGAAGCCAGGCCCTCGAGGGGGGCCGTCGACCTGTGCGTTTGGAAGTGCTTTCTGGACCCCGTTGCCGTCTGGGACGCGCTGGCCGACGTCTCCCGACGCCCGCGGGGCCGCGTGGCGAAGGGCTTTCCCATGGTGGCGCCCGCGGCGGGATTCTTCTACGGCCCGACGGAGGGGTGCCTGAACGGCGCTGGCAGCAAGCCCGGCGGCTGGAAGAGCGGCAGCGTTAAGCCGGCCGACGGCGGCAGGGGAATCGTTATCATAAACTTGCGGCACAGCGGCTACCGGTGGGATCGCCGGGGTCGCGCCGTGCTGGGCTCTGAGTTCGCACCGACGGCGGAGGCGATGCGCATGCAGAAGGTGATGAGGGTGAGTAAGAGCGCGCCCGGGGGCGAGGAGGGGTGGGAGCGGGCCACCGTGCGCGCACCGGGCTGGGCGAGCACGGACGTCGAGAGGAGGGAAGGCGTGGAAGTTTACTACGACGCCAGGGTGTGCCTTTTCGTTTTCAGGGACATCTTCTACAAAGGCTTCGAGTGATGTTCTCGATCAATTTGAAGGTGAGCGGTTGCTGTTGTGCAACAGCATGTACAACGCACGTGCTTCTCTTTTGAATGGTTGGAATCCATCGATGTGGTGATGGTCCGCTTCCAAGCTTAGAATCAGGGAAGTACTGTCGCTGGTCTGGTATCTGTCATTTGCGCTGGGAAGGCACGTGGGGCCTGAATCATTTTGTGGCACCTTTGGCCACGGGACTTCATGGAAAATGAGCCCATGCTCCGTGTCTGACATGCATTCGCGAAAAAGAGCAGCCTTTCATGTCGCAGTCAGACTCTTCTCAATGTCTGCTTCAGAGGTCGAATTGTGCACTGCAACGTGCAGGGCATTGATGGTCCAGCGGACGCCAAACAGTGGCGCACGTTCCAAAACGTGGAGTGAAAGGAAGTGGGGTTGTCTGGCTGGGAGTATATTGGAAATTCCATGCCATGGCAACGGGCAAGAATGTGTCTATTTAATTGCTATTGTACCTTGAACTTTACCCTGCAAATTTGGGCTGAACTTCGTACTTATTTGATGTGCTTTGTACTTTATGTACTTTGTAATTCTTGTATGGCTTGTAAAAATTTTGTTTCCCGCATTGGGCCGTGTAAGGAGAGCATGGGCTGTGTTTTCAGTGCTAGCAACTGAATTAAAGCACGCTTGGTCTTTACAGCGTCAGCACAGCGTTTTCATGCTTACTCACGCGCAAAAGTAGTGTATACGTTTTTACGCATAGGGACGCGTAAAAGTACTTAAATTGGACCCTGTGTACATGAAGCCAGTACATCCAGACTCAGGAAGCCCGGGGAGTGGCAGCTGGACGCGCTGGGGTGGGCAGAGGATGGTCGTTTATACAACGGCGTCGTTGCCCTGCCCGAGGGCGACGTGGATGGTGTGTGTTCGCGTGCCTAAAGGGAGGCGGCGGACTGGTGATTGTTTGCGACTTTTCCACGTAACCTTGGTGCGTCTGCGTGTTGTAAAACTACGAAAATATGGGCGTTTCCATGCTTACACGTTTTATGCATAAGAACGTTAACGTAAAAGTGGTGCCGTAGACGTAAAGACCAAGCCTGATTTCAAGAATCGTCCTGTACTCCTTGAAAACATAATTAGGTGTTGCCGCCTAATACATTTGAAGTGGTATGTTTGCACTACAAGACATTTGGGTGTAGGTGGGCAATGTTGCATATCCTGGAAGTACATCTCCAGGATGTAGTTTTATCCCAAGACATGTGACCCCACATCCTGGGATGATATGGCCATGTCATTAATATGCAAATCCGGGATATTGCCCCCATATTATATTCGGTATTTGGGATATGGGGCCCCCATGTCCTGTTCCATTTCCGAGATATGGGACTTTCTAGCGATGGTGCCTTCATTCTGCATATTATTGTGGCAACCATTCACACCAGGTGCTTTGTCCAAAAATGGTGACACACCTGCTTCTCTGAGCCACAAGTTCTCCAATGATCGCTTCGCCATGGCATACTACCCGGAAAGTTTCGAGGACCAAATTTCTCCTACCAAGCTGGGCTCCCTTACCTGCCATTGTCTACACACGAGCGGCAAGAGAACAGCTGTGCCGGCATCAGGAGAACTTCCCCGTACCATGTACGCTGTCTTAAACAGCATTCCACAGTGTGAGGTTCACCGACTAAAACAGCAGTTTAGCAGAACATCGTGATCACTGAAGGGCTTTCTTTAGATGCACATTACCACTGCAGTGAACACGGATATCGCTATCTCTTGCTCAATCGCTGGGCTCGCAGAAAACCCAACAACGATTCGTTGATAAATATGGTGCCCAATTGGGGTCACACACCTGCGGTGGTAGAGGCATGCAGTGCGACAGGCAAGATGCCTTCACTAAGAATGGAGTTCCTTTCTGTCTGAACAGAGCCGCCACCCTCGCCGACAACCGGGGTGGTCAATGAACAGGCAGACATAACTAAGGGTTTTCATGCTTTGTTGATGCATTTCCTGAAACCGCCTTTGTGTGTCTTCACTGTAGCACCCATTGTGTTTCACAAAGTGTGGACTTCATATGCGTAAGCGCTTGTTTTGGCGATCGTCAGTGTACCACAAGCGGTTATGTTTATCCGTGATGGAATTAATTCAACATGGAGAGGGGAATTCAGCTTCGCATTTTCTTTCATTGGGGTGCACATTCCATCAAGATTGGTTGAGCAATGGGTGCGTTTAGCTTTGCATTCGCTGCCATAACTAGGGCCCTTGCTCATTGTAGAATGAGGTGGACTGAGTAGGTAAGGGACGCAGGTGTGACACTTTCCGTACCCTTGACATGAGCCATTTTTTGCTCGTGTCGTGGCTCTCCTTAACACACTACTGATCTTGCCACTTGATGCTCATCCGCATTGCCTCCTGGGGCAAAGCGAGAAAACAGTCTCGTGGTTCTGGATGCATGGCTTGTGTGTAGCCAACACAACAGACCCTGGTTGGATGCCTTGGGTGCCCAACATTCAGTAAGACCGCCCTCGTGGCCTGTCAGTGGTCAGGAATGCCCTCCAACCGGCATGCTCGAAAGCCAACCAGCAACAAGCAGCAATAAACAACAAGCTTGCAACAATGCCAAATGCCCTTGTCAAAACAATTCAGAGCCCCAATTGTCAATCGCCCCCAGAGTTCAACTCTGCTCTTCACGCACAAAAACCACACAGCCGTGTGGCTGAATGGCGGAATGTGGTGTCGTGATATCACGTCTCCACACGTGCAGCGCCTGACGCCAGGACATCCACAACGCTCATACATACTCCGTATCGTGACCCAGCACCCGCTTCAACAGCTTCATTGCAAGGGGCACCAGCATGACCCACCCCCATGTCGGCCTGTCATGGGATGCTGCACGCAAGGACAGCGTGCCTGTGCCCCCGGCGTTCATGTTGATGGAGCCGTTCAGCATCGTCTCTGGGGAGACTGCCACCTCTGCAGAGGCCTGGCCAGAGTATCCCGTCCTGGTGTTGCTCCCACGACGCTGGCTGCTGACCCCCGCCCCAAACATGAACGACGGGTCGTATTCGCCCTTGCCACCAGTGATCTTCACGTCCACATTGGCTCCGTATGCTTGATCTCTGTACGCGTCACCGCGGAACTGACTTCCTGAGACTTTGGCTGTCATTCCCCCCGCTGCCATGCTGACCTTCACGCCATCGTTGATCTGCAAGTCAAGGGAACTGGACTCAGGGATTGGCTGATGTCGTTGAGTCTGGCCTGAGCGATCGCAGAATTCTAGATGCATAGTGCACTGGGGCAATACTACACTGAAACCTGAAACTCTGGGCAGCGAGTCAAGCTAGCAAAAGTCTCTGCATCAGGCAAGGAACTTTTTCACAAGTACAAAGGCCACAGATGATGAAAACAGCTGGGCAGCTCCGCCAGACCATGTGAATAACAACAAGCAACCCAGTCAATTTTGGTGTCAAAGACACAGGAATCCACTATCCTTGGATATTCAAATAGAACCCAGCACACATATCACCTGCAGCAACGGTTGCCGCAGGAAAAACCTGGATGCAAAAACATGGTTCCAACAAGGCAGTCCTGGCACATTTGGTCACAATATTGGAAACAAACCATTGTGGCTGTGAGTCTTGCTCGACATCGCCTGGTCGATGCATTGGCAGTGAGTTGCCATACATTTGTACAAGCGATCAAAGAAAGTGCACTGTGCAATTCTCCCATTCCAAAACCCATTGAAAAACTGCAGATGTGAGCCCCTCTCACCTTCAGCTTGTTCTCCACCTTTGCGCCCCAGCTCAGCTGGCCCTTATGGGGCCAGCCATCTTCAGATAGGCGTGTCGCCATGACTCCCAGCGTGACCTTGTCCTTCGGGTTCAGCTTCAGACGTACGTCCAAGGAGGGGGTGTACACAAGCTCGCCCTCACTCCCAGCCGGGTGGATGATGCAGCCCGCTGTGCCAACAAGATTCTTGCTGGGATGGGAAGACATGCCAGACTCCATAGTCAGGCTCAGAGGCCCTTTCTGTTTGCTGGCCTGGAAGAACACAGCACATGGCCAGCTTGGATCTGATGCATTCAGAAATTGTTATGCAAGGAAGGGCACTTCCACAAAGGCTTTGGTGAATATCTATCAAGGACAGTTTGTAGTGGACAGTGCAGTGGTCGCCCTCTGAATGGAATGGAAACATTTATACAGGGTACGAATTTGCTGAGAAACAACTTTCCTGATGCATGGTAATTCCTCCGTCCCAGATTAATTGTCGTCTACGATTTTGGGGCATTATTTCTCCATCATGCCCGCACTTGTTTTCAATGAAATTTCGCGTACGGTTGTCTTTTTGAGTTACGAGTACACCATAAAAATTTCAAGTCAATCCATTAAGTATTGAGGATTTGACAGTACTTTGTATCAAGGGTCTTTTTACATAGTAAATCTCGATATTTGGGGTCGAAAATGACCACAATTTACCTTCTCCTTGCGCTCACAAGGGTCATGTCTCACTTTTCCTTCTTCAAAATTGATGGTCAAGGGTTTTGAGATGCAATCTTTTCGATTTTGGCCTTGTTTTCAAATTCTGAGGCTGCCCTTATAACAAATTTAGCCTTTCAAATAGACGACAATTACTCTGGGATGGAGGAAGTATGTAGGTAGAGGTGCAGAGCACTGCCAGTGTGCTGCACCTGGTGGCTGTAAGGAATCACTCATCTAAGGGAAAGATGACTGCAGCAGCCCCACAGCAACTTTGCAGAAGCATGAAGCTTCCAGCACCAGCAGACTAACCCTATGCCATGTCATCCACCTATGAGTGCCATCAATATACACAGGGTGATCCAGGCAACTTGTGTCCATTCATGTCTGCATACCTGGATGATCATAGATGATGGAAAGCCTCCAATGTGCTGCCCCTTTGGCCTCACGACGCCCTCTCGTGCAACTTGAAACATTTCGATCCCTTCATCATGGTCATAGGTGGCATCCTGCTGCGATATTATAGGTCGCACTGACCATCCACCCACAAAGTCTGTGGCATTGTAGCGGTGGCTATTCACATCGTGATCGAATGATGGATTAAGATCCATCTTCTGCCCGACTATCGGCACCTGATCGACCACAAGGACACATCAGAAGGCACAATTTCTTGATTCAGAAGCAAAGCAGCTTGATGAGTTCAGCAGGATGAAACTTGTCAAGTCAGGCACACTGGCCTTGGAAGTAGTCTTCCTTCGCAGAGTCCATTCGTTGAAAGCTTCCTGCTTATAATGATGCTCAGCCCACTAGAACCGCATGCTACCATTTACCATGAAGTGGCTCCATGCACCAAACAATACATCTGCTTGTTACTAAGTCTGTTTGTGCCCACGTGTCAAATGACATCACTACAGCTGGAGCTGTTTGTGCAGTTCAATGCACTCACATACTCTCACACCCCATCCAAAATGCTTTGGTGCCCTGACCACATGTACCTGAGAAGGATGAGCTTCCTCCTGCAGTACCTCCACTCTTCGCAATCGAACATAGTCTCTCCTCTTCTGTTCTTCCATCATTCGGGTCCTCTCATCCATGAGCTGGAGTTCACTCTCTGACTTCAGATCCCTAGATAACAACACACGATCTTGTCGGATTTGCTGGTGGGTGCTGTGCCACAACAACAGTCTCTGGCGAGCAACCAACCCACAGCCATCAGCGCATGGTTCAGAAGGAGCTTGAACCACGCCATAGCAGCTGGGTATTGTGGAGTTATCACCCTGTTATCAAACTGTCGTTATGACATACTTGATACGCTGTCAGTCTCTGGGACAAGCCCAAAGACATGCGTGGCACAACAGCGCTATGAAGCAACCATTTGATTGATTGGCCTCATTGCAGGTTTCCTTGGTGGGAACAGTGGGCAAACCCTTCTGTACTCCCAGAATGGGTGCCTCTGCTGAAGGCAACTGGTTTTCCTCACAAATGCAGGGCAACAACAAGGTCAAGGACACATGCACTCATGAGCTGATTTTCAAGGACTCTCACAGCCTGGGACATCATATTCCCACACAAATTGCCACACAGAAAGATTCTGAACGGCTGTCCTGGTAGGGAATTTGACAGATGTCCCATCACTGCTGCCCGTGACAGCCATCCGGACTTGCAACAACACAACACAGAGAACAGGAAATAACACAAGATAATCTTGGTTGCAGCCACAATAACCTGGGTCTGCTGAGCCATAGGTAAAACTGGAACACGCAAATCCAGAATATCAACAGTGGGAGTTGTTCCTAGGAGATGTGCTGTGCTTGGTTCCACAGGATCAGCAGTGTTTACAAAGTTATGTGTTTGTTGTGCCGTGGCGCTGTCTGACACGTGATACACAGATCCAAATAACATCCATATCCCAAGGTACCTGTCCATTCAGTACCCATGCAAAGTTCGGTACTCAGAATGAACTGCGGAATGGTTGAAGCTGTTCAATGGGTGCCAAAATGGCATCTAGCCATAACTGTTGTAACATAACTGTTTTTAAGACAGGAATGGAACAGAGGAACCCGACACCACATCTATTCATCAACTGATGCTTCATGTGGGGCATATGTGGCATGTGTTTGGCACAGTGCAAGACTGCAGAATAACCCCTCAATCGCCATAGCCATACCTCTCCTCCTCAGGGAATTTCTTTGGTGCCTTGGATTGCAGCAGTTGAGCAACCAAGGCAGACAACTGGAGCTGCTTCCTCGGCCCAATGAAGTTGATCATCTGCTGAATGGGAGGTGGTCTGCCAGATCGATTGATCTGCACAATGCTCTCCACTTCCCTGAACAACCTGCTTGTAATTATTTGGCCGATGGTCTGCAAATGAAAACAACATAAACACATTACTTCCAAGTGAAAAATCAGAAGGGCATCATGGCCATACAATATTCTCCCCACAGGCCAATAGCAACACAAGCAACCTCCATGACCAAATGTGGAGAGCGAAACCGTTGCATAATGGGATGAAAATGATGGCACAGATGTTGCTGTGAACCAGACTCGCTGCCAGCAGTGGGGGGCACAGAACATCCTCTGTCTTGCAGCTCTGCATATCCTTTCTGTGAACTCACCCTGGAAGAACTAAGTGCTGCATCGTGCACTCCCCACATCAGCAAGTCCACAGTTGAGGCCAAACAAAAGTGCAAACCGTCCAATGTCAGCGAAGACCAGAAGATTAGGCACTACACACTATATAACTGATGGACATAAAGGAGCACAGGCATTTCTCAAATTCTGTCCAACTCACATTCCTCTTGAAAGGCATCCCATTGGGTAGCATTGGCACACCCTCGTTTGTCCGGCAGCCAGGGTGGTTTTCAAAACCAAGAGGTCTCCCACCCCATCTCATGTCCTGAATCCCATGGCTGATGATCTGGCTTGCTGCATCCAGCCTGGGAAGAGCACAGCCAATGTGTCACAGCTGCTCCAGGCAGCACAACACTACAGGCACTGAGACATAACAACCCCAGACGATTCAGACTCTGTTACACTGGCCGTGAAGGGCACCAATGCCCCCATTAAGAACACCACATTAGCTGAGAATGACCGTAACTACACCATTGATGATACACAGCATACAACAAACCAGCAGTCCAAGCCGGCAGCTGCTGGGAATACCATGACTGTGACTAAAGCAACGTTCAAGCCTGCCTGGCGAGCAAGTGGAAACTAGTATTGGCAACAATTGTCTCCTGTCCTTTTCCCCTATTATGTGAGGCCTGGCCTGGCCAACAAGCAGAGAGTTGCGGACAAAGTTGCAAGTAGATCTGTGAACAGAGCGCAGATACATCGCTTTGCATCCAAGCTGATATCATAACAGTGACTGTCACGCTGTCACTGCCTGCAATGATGACTTGCATGAATTGGAAATGCTTGTAAGCATTCCACCAGGCCAACACATTAATCCTGCATTTCAACAGCTGAACACACACTTGCTGATTCTCCATATTGGCACCCCACCTCATGCGGTAGTACTCATTGTAGGGCATCTCTCCGTGTGTGCCATCCGGTGGCGGTGCATTGGCATGTGTGAGAATGGCTATGCAGCTGTACAGCATGTTGGGGAGCATATCATTGATCAGCCGAAGCAGGGGAAGGTCACTAAATTCTCGGCGGAATATGTCCATGCGGTCCACATAGATGACGATCTGTGGCTTGTATCTGTTCACAGCCGCCTTTACTTTCCTCAGATACACCATGCTCTGGCGACGCTTTGATGCAGCCATCCTCAGACCTGACAAACCACAAACAGTGGGCAACCCAACAGCACCATATGGATTCAGGTAACCAGGTCACAGGCAGGTACTGGGAGTATGTACTCCATATTCCACTGAATAATGGGCATAACGATGCACTGTTGGGCAATTATCCTCTAAGCCATCAAACAATGCCAACAAAGTTCCCAAAAAGAACACCAAGCAAGAAATGCCTTACATAGCCTCGATGGCAGAAAAGGCTGACGTTTTGGCAATGCCAAAGGTCTGTTTTTCTGCACCTGCCACCCATCAGGGCCATGCTCATGCAGCAGTGAGCATGAAGGGGCAGGATCTGTGCTGGGATGCCAACGTTATGGCAGAGCCCCACAAGGATTCAGGCTGGTCCTCAAAAGTGAGGCCCTGTCGTCCATGGCCGATCACACTGCAATCTACAATGCAGAAGTAGCCCATCGTTGGCCAGTCCATCCATCACATGTGCTCTGATGCCAGTAAAAGGTGTTGTTTTGGGTAACTTCCCATATCAATAGGCACAGAGACCCCTAGCTGATACTGCATCAGTTTCCTTGAACTGCACCCTCCAGCACCACCTGGTGGCTGCTTCCATGCTGGGCCAGAATTTCAGCAAAACCTTGGACACATCGAAAAGGGATACTTATGCCACTCCAGAAGCCTCCACACTCTGTTCCTGGTTCAAGCAGTTAGTCCAAATGCAGTGGCGAGCAGAACGGAAATTGGCTGATGCTGGTTGAGCAAGGTTCTGAGGGATAAAACCCTTACAAAAGACGATGCTAAGAATCAAGCGTGCTGATAACTCAACATAATACAGCACGCCATATGCAATTCTACAACATGACTCTTGCAGCATGACCTGCACTGGTAGTGCACCTGGAGTGTCGATGAAGGTCATCTTCAGGCCACAGACTTGCCCTGTCATCGTGGTAATGCCCTTTGTGGGGTTTGTGGCAAACTCAGGTGCAAGCTCTGGGCCTTCTGCCAGGATGTTTTGGATCATCGACGTCTTGCCTACAGCAGTGGGGCCAAGGACAAGCACTGTCGCGCTGTGACCCAAGTCCGAGTTTGCACCTTGCTCTTGTTCCAGATCAAGAGCCTGCTGGAACAAATGCTCTATGGACGGCCGCACAGGTGCCCTGGAGTACCTGCCACACACCATATGCAACACTCCTGACGACTGAACTGCCCTGCGAGTATGGTTCTGTTCCCATTATCAATGGGAGAAACTAGTTGGCTTGTTGTCTCATCGGCGTATTGACACAAATTGGTAGATAGTCACTGGTGACGCAGATGGTAACTGCTGATGCAGATGCATTCGTACATCATCCATGACCAAATGTGTCCACAACTTGACACACAACGTGACCACAACTTTTGTCAGAGAACTTAGTTGCTAAGAGAAGTGTGGGAGGGCATATCAGTTGTCCCGGCCACATTTTCTCCTCCTGTTTCTTGACATCCTTTGACCACACATCGGCATGCATAGCAGTTGGGACTGAGCAACTCCATTCCATAGACAATTGCATAGACACCAGCTTTAGGTATGACTGCAGCTTTGCGTACAGCTTCCCAATGACAGCTGCATCTCCAGCCAAAGAATGGAGCAGTCAAACCACAGTGCACCCTAATTCATAGGCACAATATCTACTCCTCTCCCCAGTGAAAACTGTGTGATTGCGATGGCCAGAAGCAACCATTTCAAATGGGGCAGCACCTGACCCTCTCTGCAGTGTCGACTCTATTCATGAACTCCTGCACAAGGATGTCCCCTGGCCTCATCCCTAGCCTGGACACAGCCCTGAGCATCGTCAGTCGGATCTGCAGCAGCTTTTCCCTCACCGCCCGCACAGCAGGTGGCTCCTCTGGAACCACCTCCACCCCACGACTCCCAACTGTAGGAGGGCTCAGGGCCCCTGTTCCAGGTCGACCTGGCAGCCCAGGCCCCAGCCCTGAAGGCCTCGCAGCAGCAGGCCGCAGGGGCAGGCCCCCACCCATGCCTGCTGGACGGGCAGACCTGCTGCTAGCTGCTGGGGGCCTCTTCGGGAGTGAAGGCATCCCCCTTGGAGCCTCCACCCTTGGTTCCACAGGATTAGGCGTTGCATCATCGATTCCATCCATTCCCTCATCACTGCCATCTATCCCCTCATCCCCAGCATCCAGGTCATCTGCTTCGTCCAAAGCATCCACCTCTCCTGGAGGGCCGGCACCAGAGGCGCCCCCAGTGGGGGGAGATGCAGCAGCCTTAAGGGCAGCCGCAACAGCGGGAGACACAGCTTCGTCCCAAGGCTCAGGGCCTTTGGGGCCAGCACCATCAAGCTCAAGGTTTCCTGCAGGCACCACTGCCTGCAAGGAAGCAGAGACAAAAAACAGACAACTTGAGACACAGGCACCGACCGCAATGCAAGGCGAGTAATGAAGCAAAGCAGCCTGTGGTCAATTCCGAACAGTTAAGGCCATCCCCAGGAAGCTGGGCTTCTTTGATGCAGATGCTACAGCAACCTTGCGATCTTCCCGGGTACTCACACCACCTTGCATGTTTCCTGCCGTATTCTCACAGGCGTTTTGGCCACCTATCTAAAAATTTCTGCCCTCTGCCAGCTTCCAGTGGTGCATGCCGCAGGCAGACTGTGTGCTGTCTGCCCAAACGTGAATAATCGTCAAAGTGCATAATACTCACTTGTGCAGGCACAGCCGCTCCAGTAGTCTGGGAGGCTGAAGGTGCAGCTGGTGCAGACTCTACTGCCACATCATCTGCAGCACCTTCAGATTTGGTTGCCGTATCTGACTTGGTTGCTGAGCCACTGTCACTGGTCTTCTTGGGTCCAAAGACATCTTTCCACGTCCAGAACTTGCGACGAGAGTTGGAAGCATTCGATCCAACAGACTGTGGCTCTGAATGAACAGAGCCTGAGTGAGAGCCATGAGCTGAGGCAGCATCCTGATCGCCAGACTGGCGGGCTGATGGAGGGCCATCTGTACAACAGAAAGGGCTCATGGCTTGCAACTGCATCGTCTCCAGTCTGACAGGAACTGAAAATCAGTACGCGCAAAAGATGCACACGGTATTGACCACAAAGCTGGATGCGTCTGTGGGCCAAGGAGCTGAGTGGGAAACGACGACTTGCACAGTTCGCCTGAGTGTGCCTGATAGCACCGTGTGGACTAACTGGTTCACACTGCTTCGTGTTCAGTTGAAGTGACAGGGCAACCTTTGCATCTGTATGTTTGTGTGCAGGTTAATTTTCACCATCAATATCCAATAGTCCCCAGGCTCACCTCCAAATTTGCCACTCTCACATGCAGCAAACACATGATCCTAACTTGTGCAAAATGTTTGGAGTGCTCGTATAGCCCTGCACACGACTGCTTGGTGTTGTAGATGCTAAGGCTGCATACACTCAAGGAGAGTATGTGCTCAAGATGCCTCAATAAATTTCCAATCCAATGTCTGACCGCAACACCCCATGAACATGCAGAACATACACAGGACGCCATGAAGCTGGTCCTTGCCACGAACCTCCATGGCATACATCTCCTAAGGGAATCTTCAAGACCTTGCACTGAATGACAATGAATGCCCACATAAAATCGCTGTGTGCACTGTGGACTCTACTTGGTTCTGCATGTATTTGTCAAAAACTGAACTTGTTGATCATGTTAACAAGTCATGTCACAGCTACAGGGCTGAACAATTGGGCATTCCCACACTCATACCCAACTATTCATAGCAGCTGTACATGTGTTCAGAAATTGCTGCAAATACACAATAGCAGGGACACAGGTGCACCCTCCCACATGGATTGAAGAAATGCTCTATTTTTACAATGCCCTGCAGGTGCAAGGGCCACATCATGTATATGGGACAAATGTAATCACTGATAAACTCAGCTTGTGCACTTATGAGCCATTCATAGTATCTGCCACCTTCCCCTTCCAGCTACAGGCAACCAAATGGTACTGGTTCAGCCACTGGACACCAGAGTCGCCCTGCCGCAGGTCATCTTCCAGTTCTAAAGCAGCCCACCCACAACCTAAACGCAACAGCAGCAAAGGCAAGCAAAACTGGTTCCCACATGGCTGGAAACTCAGCTTGCACAGCATACCTTCCCTGCTCCCAACTGACCCTGTCCTTGCATGCCCTGGGGCGCTGGGCACTGGCACCGGTGCACTTTGGTTCATGCCCCCTTCCGCACATTTCATGCTCTGGCAAAGCACAAATGCATCTCAAAATCAGCACGAGCTGCCACTCTGGAAACAGGCCAATCGCCTTATTTCGCAGTCTAGCAATTTGTCACAGGCATCAGTTCTGGTCGAGTCCGCGGCTGTCATTCAGGAAGCCATCAAACCCATTCACGAATGCCGGCATTGGACCAAGTGTTGAGGCAGAGTGTCGGGCAAATGGTCAACAAAGGGCTTGCTCTGCGTACAGTGTGTGGAACAAAACCCAGGTGCGTCTTGGCCAAAGTCCTGCACACTCCACAGCATTTAGAAGTGTGAAGACTCGATACTCTGCAAGAACGACGGCCACGCGGGGAGGGTGGTAGCCGAACCCAAATGTCCACAAGTACCAGCACAAATAGCGCACATTCCAACGTTACAGGCGTAAGGGGAGCTTTGTTGGAATAACAATTGAGAGTCTCCACAACAACGATCCCAGTCCGTTGAACGCCACTCACGTCGTCGCTTGCCATGTCCCCGGCCTCGGAAGAAGGGCCCAACGGCGCCCCCGCCTAGCTGCCAATTTCACTACGACGCAGGCACCAGTCCGTCAAATTTGATCCACCAGCCCATCGGCGCGGCAGCCCGCGGCCAAGCGCCAATTTTGCGGGGAGCCTGCCCCCAGTCGACGCCGACTTCAGCCGCAATGTGGACTGCACTGTGAACACAAATCAATCGCGCCAAGGCGTCAAAGTGCCGAATTCGCGCTTCCCCTTTGCCATCAGCGCCCCCAGGGTCGGCGAGCGGGGCCACAGGGCGCAGCGATCGGCTGGATTACAGCCCATGGAGCCGCGAGCGCAGTGGAGGGGGCGCTGGCTGCGTGCGCGTCGACCCACCTGACAACCTGTCGCGCGGCGGCAGCCGTCGGAGACTCCAGGACGGCGCCCGCAACCAGACCCACAAAGCAGAGCACTAAGCGGGCTGCAAGAGAATGGATCTTGGTTAGGAGCGGCGACGCCCTGGACCCGTCAAACGAGTCCATTTTCCTCAGAGTAGGGAAGATGATTTGGCGCCAATACACGCTAGCCATCTCTTGTGATCAGGGGGCCCCACTGTTTGCAAGTTGGACCAGGATGGTTGCGGCACCGTGGTGACTGTAACAGACAACTTGGAAAGGAAACAGCTTTTCTTTCCCAATTATGTGTTTCCCCGTTGCCGTGAACGCATACCGTCCAATGACTAAATGATTGAAGTGCAGGCCGAGGCTAGCCGCCCAACTAGATCGTAACGTACCTCAGGGATAACACAATGTGTGGTAAGGTTGTCTGTCGCTGACCTCAATTGGGAGAGAAGGCCTGCAAGGATGCACAACTGTCCATTGGTCTACGGCCTTGAAAACTCATGCTGTGTAACAGCATACAACAGATACAAGTGGGCCAAAAAAACTTGTAGCAGCAACCAAATAAGGCCGAGCGATTTCTCATTTTCATAAATGTTGTCAGAACTCTTCACGATTTTTTGTTGATAGTTTTTATAATGGTGGCTTGCTCAGCCTATCCCACGCAACGAGTCATGATTATAAAGTTCAGGGCATAGTTTATGTGCCACAATTATGCAGGGATTGCTATCGGGTCAGTAACAATTAACAAAAGACAATATAATATAATAAAAAGATCGGTACCTATGCATGGCCTATGTAAGGCAAACACAGTGGAAGGAGATATGCACACTAGAGGTGGCCACTCAAAGGTGCCATCCGGTCCGTTAAATCCGGTTCGTTAATTTTTATCAGCTGTCCGTTAAATTTCGTTAAAGAAAAAGGGAGAAAAATTCAGAAAAAACGAAAAAAATCCAAAAAATCGAAAAAGACCCAAAAAATCACAACAACTGCGGCTAGTTAAAAATCTAGTATGCATAGGTTGAAATAAAATACAAACATACTCTCTAATAGCGAATTCCATAAACTATAAGTATGATTAAAACCCAAAAATCCCCAAAAAATCCAAAAATCCGGTAATTTTTGGTTAATTTTTGTCTTTTTTCGTTATTTTCCGTTAATTAACGGAAAATTAACGGAAATTAACCTCTGTCCGCTATTAACGGATCCGGGTGGCCACCTCTAATGAGTATGCAAGTCTCTGCCCAGAAGATAAAACGGCTTGCTCGACACAAAGACATGTATGTGGCCATCATGAGGCCAAGTGGAGGAGACAAGACAGAAGACCAAGAGTACAAGGAAGTGAATGCAATCGTAGAGTTGGATGATGCCAAGATTGATACACCGTTTCCAAGAGAAGTTAAGGAGATACTGGTGGAGTATTTGGATGTTTTTCCAGTGGAGCTACCTCCAGTTATACCACCAAAGCATACCATGTACCATCATATTGAATTACTCGCCGGGACAGAGCCGCCTCATTGAGCACCTTACCGGATGTCTACTCAAGCATTGGACGAGTTGAAGACTCAGTTAAAGGAGTTGACGGAGCATGGGTATATTCAGCCTTCAGTTTCACCTTTTGAAGCTCTCGTTCTTTTTATTCCCAAGAAGGACGGCAGTGTTTGAATGTGTGGACACTACTGGGCATTGAACAAGGCAACGATTTGGAACCGCTACCCATTGCCCCGCATTGAAGAACTTCTAGACCGCTTGGGTGATGCAAGTTTCTTCATGAAGATTGATTTAAGGAGTGGCAACCACCAGATCCGTGTCCATCTAGATGACGTGCCAAAGACAGTCTTTAGAATAAGATACGGGCACTTCGAATTTCTCGTGCTACATTTTGGCTTAGCAAATACTCTGGCCATGTTTATGCATTTGATACATAGCATCTTCAGGGAGCATCTATATACCTTTGTCGGCATCTTCTTGGATGACATCTTGGTGTACTGCTGATCGTTAGAGGAGCACAAGGTGCACGTCAAGAAGGCATTGGAAATCTTAAGAGAGCACAAGCTCTATGCGAAGATGACCAGGTGTTCGTTCTTTCAGCAAAAAGTCGAATATTTGGGTCATATTGCCGTATTTACCCGGTATTAGTAGGCACTAGAGGTGGCCCCTTCTGTCCGTCCACAACAGAATTTGGTTGGCTCCGTTAAAATTCCGTACAGTCAACGGAATCCGCGAGCGGGCCACAGAGAGAAAAACTGTCTAACAGGAACTGGCGGGGCCATACGGACGTCAGCATAGATGGCTACAGAGATCCACACAACCTTACAGAATGGAACCACGTGTTACGGAATCCTCGCGGGCATCAACAGAGGACAGGCCCCCCATAACGGAACCGCTGACCAAATCACAGAGGTCGACAGAATTCCATCAAAGTTTACGGAGCAACACACACCTATGAAACGCGCTGAACACTAGTACAGAAATTCCAATGCCGTTCCGTTGAAATTCTGTAAGACGGACAATCCCAGAGGCCTGTACTTTGGCAAAGGTGATGGATAATAGCCGCAGAGCAGGTCCCGTTCCCCGGACCGGACGGCCAGACGCGTGGTTGAGTGTGCAACGGGTATGCGTGGCGGACGTGGGGTGGAATTACTGGAGTGCTGATGGATTTTAGCGGTGCGGCCCAGTGGCATTGTTGTGGAGCTGCAGGGGCAGGCAGTAAATGATATTTTCTGCAGCTGTATTACGTAATCTCGCTGAGTCATCCTATTCTACGGTTTACTCATGATTTCCTGGTTCCAACGCTTTGTTCAGCACTCAGTTCTGAGGAGTATGGAGGAAGATACGGCCTCTTGAAGACGTAGTACTTTGAGGCCAGGTGCTGGGTGGGGATTGTTGGAATTAGAGCTAGATTAGGTTGATTATAGGTGACGGAGGGGCGCTGGTACACGGTCCGTACATTACACTGTGTTGTCTTGTCTGATATGACGCGATGGACCCGCGACCGGGCATCGCGCAGGTACATTGGATGCGCGCCGCGCGCGTCAGATTGTAACCGCATTCGGGCCCCCTCTCTGCCCCGCCGCGAGGCAGCGAACCGCCGTTCGCCGCCGCGACTCCACCGCCTGCGCACGGCAGGCTTCGGGGAAGGTCCCCGAGCGTCCCAAGGGCCCACCGCGCTACCGAACAACCGAGCACCCCGACAACGCCTGCCGGAATCCGGCGGAGAGGCGCGGCATCGAGGCCGCGCCATCGGGTGCGGCGACCGCCCCCAACACTCCGGAAACCAGCGGCCGCCCGCGGGCCGCAACAAGTGGTTTCGGAGCGGAGCCGAAGCCGGGAGCCGAGCAGGACGCGGCGGCGAGAGTGAGCGAGAGGCGCGGCATCCATTCGCCGCGGAGTGCCGCGCCAGAACCAGCCCCATCCAACGCGGCCGCGGAGGCGATCAGCCCGATCCGGGGGCTGAATCGCCGGGGAGATCCGCGGCCATCGAGCCCGCGCACCGATTGGCAATTCTGCGGGGCCATCCGACCGGCGCGCGGAGAGAGCTGGCGAGAGCCGTCCAAGGGGGTGACCAGCAGGTGGCCAGCACCCGGAGGAGCAGCGCCAGGCGCTCAACGCGCAGCTGAACACGCGAGGTCCAGTCAGCCCAAGCCCACAGTACTTTAAGGTGCCAGAGCACCGGTACTGGGCAGTTCCAGCGAACCAGGACCAGCTGCAGTGTGCCAGGACCTCCCAATCGACCAGAAAGGAGCAGAAAAAGGAGCAGACAGGTGACTAAGCCCGAAAGAGGGCAGGGCCCCAAGAAACAAGCCGATACCACCCGCCTAAGAAAAGGGGGTGAAGGACCTGCCCTAGAAGTGGAGGTCAATCTGCTGCTTCAAATTGTGATGCAGGTACTGCAGGCGGGCCACAACTAGGCCGCTCTGCAAGGAAGATTGGGGCCCAGTTCAGGGGAACTGGGGGGAGATTCGGCACGGCAATAGGCAGGCCCTTCGGGGTCTAGAGATGCCCCTGCCTAGTGGCAGGTATCCCCCAGGGAACCGGCTGGCGAGGTGAGCCCATTGGCCACCTCAGGTACACAGATCTGACCCACCCCGGTGATGCTTGGTGGGCAGATCTTAGCACAATAGACGAGGCTGGGGGTGCCACAGGCCAGCCCAGAATGGCCATAGTAGGCCGCCTCTCCGTACTCCCCTCGTCCCAGGCACGGGACATCAGGCTAGATTACTGCGTGGAAGTTGGGACTAGGGCACATTAATAAGCACAGACGCACCCTCCGGAAAGTTACTAGGGGAACCGAGAGGTTACCCTACAGAGTACTGAGGGTAACTGTGTGTGAAAGTGTGCCTGAAAACCAGCGGAAGCGTGGTGATTCTGGTTTGAGAGGTCAAGGGGAGGATAGAGACTACATTGGATAGGGGGATCAGTGTCAGTAGTCCAAGATCAGGTCTACCCAGTGACTACACAGTTGCAGCTGTGTGAGAGGACAGCAGTGATGGGTTGCAGTATACAGTATTGCTACAGCAGTTTTGACGGTGTACCAAGGCAGACAGGGACATCATGGAGTTGCAGGAGCAGGAGGGCGTGTACATCAGAGCTGGTTTAGTAGAGACAGTTGCAGGATCAGGGAGGTTACTGGAC